GTGTGTCTGTGTGTGTGTGTGTGTGTGTGTGTGTGTGTGTGTGTGTGTGTGTGTGTGTGTGTGTGTGTGTGTGTGTGCGACGGTGATCGTGTATCATTCACTTTAATATGCCACCGTTGCATATCCGGATATGCAACGGTGGCATAAAGTGAATGATACACCGTCGCAAAACTGCATTCCTGGGTCGTGCGGAGATGCGTCCGGGTTTTGGGTACCGGCGGATAGCTGGTGAACGCTAAGGTGGGTGTCGAACCCGGATGCATCTCCGCACGACCCAGGAATGCAGTTTTGTGTGTGTGTGTGTGTGAGAGAGTACTCACTCACAAAAAAGTTCGCAGATGCACGAGGATAATCGCGCTTACGTCCCACCTCTAGCGTCTATCTACTGCGCGTGTCGGTCGGCTTGCTAGCAGCTGACCGAGGCGCGTACCGGCTGATCTGGCTGCTGCGCCGGCGGCCGCTGCGCTGGCCGCTGCTGCGCCGGCTGGCGGGCGGTACGGCCGCCGGCGGCCGCTGCACCCGCGCCTTCCCTTGCGGGCGCCGTCGCGCCGCGCGCGCCCAACTCTGCTGTGGCACACGGCACGCGTCGTCACACAGCCGCGGAGAATAGGCGGTGCAGCGCGCGAAGCGCGCGCGATCTCGTACTTTTAAGGCTGGATCCGGTGTCGTGTGAGAGAGTTTTGTTGTAAAATTCCTTTTTGTTAGCCCGAAAACCTCGTACAGGCCAAAGGCCGCACCTTCTTTGTTTGTCGTCCGCAAGCGCCCCGAGGGGGCCGCCGTGGAGTATTGGCGCTCATCTCAAGATACGCAGCTCTACACGTGTAGGCGCGAACCTTACTCAAGATAAGCGCCCAGACACGAAGACGCGTATCTATCTGGGCTACCTGGACGCAGACGCGCATCCTCATGCGTGGGCGCTCATCTTAGTTAATACTCGCGTCCACACATGCAGGTGCGTATATGGGCTCGGTGCACATGAGCACTTACACGTCAGGGCGCGAGCCTTAGCTAAGATACGCCCCTACACGTGTCGGTGGTCATTTTTGTGTGTGTGTATCGCGCGCCTTGCGGGGGGGGCGCGGAAAAGAGGAACCTCTTAGCGCCATCGCCACGGTGCTGCATGCAGCGCCGGGCGACGACGGCTTACCGCCTCCCGGTCCCCCTCGGCACACCTCCGCTGCTCAATGTTTGACGGCTCGAACCCGTGAAGCTTCCCCGTGCGCGGGTTACCCCGCGCACGGGTCAGCCTGCCAGCCACGTATCCACGCAAGCGTGGTCCGCGCGCATGGCATACAGGCGTCCGCCAGACAGCGCAGAGGCTCTAGGCGACCGGGGAAGGACTAGCTCAAGGGCAACACAGCGTCACCAGCCGTTGGCGCGCAGAACGAGTCTGCGGCCCTCGGTTGGGACGAGTGCGCGACGCGGTTGAACCGCTCAATATGGCCGGCAGCTCGCGCTGCCGGCGGGGTTGGTTGGGGAGAACCGGCACGGGGAAAGCCGGCCTCCCCGGAGGGGTCGCCCCCTGGAGGGGCCCCAAAGGGCCCCCCGGGGGGGCGGGGGCCTTACCACCCAAGACTGCTTTCAGACGCTTACGCTAAACACCTCTCCGACGCGCTCGACTATAGTCTGCCAATTTCCGCTCAACCTGCGCAAATCGTGACCCCCAGAACTCGTGATACCCGAGGAGTCTCGAGCTTCAGCTGGCGAATCATGCCGCTCTCGGCACAGAAGCAGCGCGAGCGCCGCGCCGCGCAGCGCGCTGCCGAGGCTCAGGACGCGGCTCGCGGGCAGCGCAACCGCCCGGCGCCGAGCCGGTGCTAGGCCGCCTCCGCTGCGCCTGCTTCCTTGCGCGCCGCTGGACGTCGGCCGAGAAGACCGCTTCCCTCTGGGGACCCGACTCCGCGAAGATCGCGCGCGCGTCGTGAGTGGCGGCGCGCGCGCGATCTCCGTTCCCGGGCACGCCGGTCGCAGTGGCATGGGCTCCCAGGCTCAAAAGCGCTCCCGCCAACAGCGAGCGAGCGCCGCCGCTGCTCCTCCTCCCGCCGCCGCTCACCGAGACTCGGTGCCGCCGTTCTCGCCGCCGCCGCCGCCGCCGCCGCCGCCGCCGCCGCCGCCGCCGCCGCCGCCTCGCGCCTCGCCTCCGTCACCGCCGCCCTCCATCTCGCAGCGGCGCGTCCCTCTCTGATATGGCGCGGGCGCCTCGCTCACCGGCGCCTCGCCGCCGCCCCCCCCCCCTTCTCGCGCCGCTCCGCTCGTGGCCGCCGCCTCCCCTGTCAATCCCGCCGCCTCCCCTGTCATCCCGCCGCCCGCACCACCGCCGCCACCGCCTCGCGCCTCGCCGCCGCCGCCACCGACCGCCCTCCCGCCTGCGCCGCTGAGCGCGGTGCAGGGGGCGAGCCCCCGCTGCGCAGCCTCACCGCAGTGCACTGCGCTCTCCGCGCCCCTGACGATTAGTGAGGAGGTGTTGCACAGCATGGAGCTCGGCGGGCGTTTAGCGAGCCCCTCAGCTAGAGTGAAATGCTCCCGCGCGAGTATGTTTGCCGCAGGCTGGCCAGATCGGACGCGTGGAGGGAGTCTAGGATGGGGAGAGAGGGAGGGGTAGAGGATTGGTTGGTGAACAGTCTGTCTGTGTCTAGGTTAGAGAGCAAAAGGGATAGAGGGAAGAAGGGAGGGAGGGGCGTTTCGTTCTAAATTGATGAGAGGACTAGCACTTCACCGCCCGCACACTGCCGCCCATCCCTCCAAACGGGCTTCTTGGGTGGAAAAAAGAAAGAAAGAAAGAAAACAGACAACCCAAGGGAGGGATGGGAGGACGGCACGCCGCCACCACAGAGATGCCACCGGCGGCTTGTCCGGTTACTCAAAACGGTCTGGTTGACCCACTTCCCTCTGACGGGGGACTGGCACTTCATGCACGCCTTCCGAGTCCTCAAGACCAACGACGCCACCACCGCCGTCGCCATCCTCCTCGGCATCGCCGCCATCTTCGCCCTGCTCCGTCGCAGCGGCCAAGCCGCGCTGCGAGACGTTCGCGCCGGCGACGAGGTCTGGTACTACCTGCACGTGCCAAAGGCGTCCGGCACCGCCTTTGGCAACGCGCTGGCCAACCTGCGTCCTCGCACGAGGTACGCAAAGGGCGTCTGCCGCGGCTTCAACCTCATGGGCTACGGCTACCAGCGGAGCCTGCCAGGCCGGCGCGGCTTTGAGTCAGACAGCGGCTGCCTCTCGGCGGTGACTCGCTGGATGGCGCAGGAGACGTCGCACGGCGCGGCGAGGCGAGGAGCCCGGTGGGCCACACCCGGCCGCCGGCGCAGCATTGCACGCAAGAGAGGTGACGACGCCACCGACACTGTCGGAGCGGGAGGGCTGTCGGCGGCGGAGGCGGCGGCGGCGGCAGCGCCATATCTTCGCGTCTGTCGACAGCTCGTATGAGCGGCGTCTCTTCACGGCTCTGCTGCTGTGATCAGGCGGAGTCGTCGTGGTGCCGGATCTACTCGTCACAGCGCATGTGCTCCTCGCAGCACCCCAGCCGCTGCTCGCTGCTCTGGGCGGAGCATTATGGCGCAAATGTGAGAGATGAGATATAGCCGAGATATAGCCGAGATATAGCCGAGATGCCGCCCAGATTCAGTGGGCGCGCCGCCGGTCGTACCTCGGCTGCACCCTTTGTTGGGTGCTGCGGCTGGCGCGGGTGCTCCCGAGATCGAGCCGAGATCGAGCCGAGATCGAGCCGAGATCGAGCCGAGATAGAGCCGAGGTGTAGGTGCTGCGGCTGGCGCGGGCACGGAGGCCGAAGCTGCGCGCCTTCACGATGCTCCGCCACCCGGTGGACCAGTTCTACAGCTTCTGGCGCTTCCTCCGCTACTGCGCCTCGTACGACGTTGAGGGGATGCAGGCGCCGCCGCCCAACCGCTCGTACGACGCGCGCTGGAGTGGCTCGCCGCTGAGCCTGCACGAGGCCGTCAGGCACGAGTCACAGCACTGCCCGGCCCTGCTGCCGTCCTGCCACTCCGCAACCTTCCGCGCGCTCACGCTGCTCGCCGGCCGCTCGGGTACGTGCGGCGACCCGCTGAGCGGCGAGGGAGGTCTCCCGAGAGATTTGGGAGGCGTCAACGCGACCGCGGCCGAGGCGGTGCTGCTGCGCGAGGCGACGGAGGCGGCGCGGACCTTCGATGTGATTGGCTTCGCCGAGGACATCCGGAGCTCTCTTGCCCTGCTCGCCCACGCCACAGGCGCCCGTCCCGCCGTCGGTTTCTTGTTTTGGCTATGCGGGCCACGTTTTCCTTTTTCTACACAGGCGCCCGTCCCGCCGGCGTTCGCGATTGATTTCTCATTTTATGAGGCAGGACTGTGGTTTGTGTTTCCACAGGCGCCCGTCCCGCCGACGTTCGCGCCATGCGCAAGGCGGTGGGGAGGCGCGTCAACCCCGCAGTGCAGCTGCCTGCGACCGGCGTCTCTTCATTCACACGGCTGGCTGTGAACAGGCGAGCCAACCCCTTGTCGCCCGCAACGCCGTCAACGGTCCTTTTGTTCACAGCGACGGGTGTGAACAGGCGCGTCAACCCGTGCGGCGGTTTCGTCCCTTTGCGCGAGGACCTCCCGACGCCAGAGACAGACGCGGCCCTCCGCCGGCTGCTGGCGCCCGACATTGCGCTGTACGAGGCGCTGCGAGCCGAGTTTGCGCAGCGGCTGCGTGCCGCGGGCATAAACGCAGAGGGCGGCAAGGCGCGTGGCCGCGGGTAGCATCGTGGGTGAACGCGATGGAGCCGCGCGTGTGGTGAGCAGCACCTTCGCATGAAGTAATACGGCTTTAGTAAACGCACCAATTTATTAGCAACGTGTGCCCCCAGCGGCTGTCTGAGCGAAAGAGCAGCTAAAGAGCGAGCCAAACTCGACGGTATGACAGGCACGCAGGTAACGCCCAGCGACGTGTGTCGGATGGAGTCCGGCCGCGGGTTATGATGTATCTTATTCCGGGGCCCGTGTGCGGGGAGCGAACCTTAGCGACCGCCCAGAAGCTTTCTGAGCGACCCAATCGGGCCGGGATCATCAGCATATGTCCCCTCCACAACATCGTGGGCGTTTGAGCGGTATTTGAGGACCACCGCCACTCTGAAGTTCGGCCGGGTGGTCTGCAGACCCCCCCCCCCCCGGAGCAGCAGAGGCTCCGTGGGTTGAAAAGTCGACGCTGGGAGTCGCACTCGTCAAACCGTCGCAACACCACGCGGTCCGCACGTACCGCCCACATCCCCTCCACCACTGAGAAGGCGCAGATCGACCGCCGGGCCGCGTAGTCGTCGTTAAGGAGCGGTTTTTGGAGCCGTACGAAGAGGTCCCAGACGGGCGAAGATGCGGTTTTTCGACGACCACACGCGATGTGGTATCTGCTTTTTGCTAAAAACGGGCCGCCTAGTGCAGCATCACTAGTACAACACGCAACCACACTGAGAGCTCCACACTAGCCGGTATAGGCGAGCCCCGGCGGCCTCACCGTCGCCGCTCGCGGCGGAGCCGACGGCGGAGCCACGGGCCGGTGCGACCTTTTGGGGGGATATGAGCTCGCCAGGACGTCACCGATGGCTCGGCGCGCCTCTTCCCGCCAGCGCGGGACGGCCTGCCTACAGGAGGGAGGGGGGGGAGACGGAACTGAGCCCTAGGTTCGTGATCCTATGGCCGGCAAGGGCTGGGAGAGGGGCGGCAAGCGACGGGCGGGTGAGCGACCTTTTGAGCGCCCATGAGCCGGCAGGGACGCCGGCGATGGCTCGGCCAGCTCCTTCCCGGCGGGTTCTCGTCGGGCCGTGCCTGGTCGGCGGGCTCGGGTGAGGTGAGCGGGCGCCCGGGAGTCGCATCTGCGCGTCCCCGGCAGTGGCAGTGTGGGGGTAGATGGGAAGTGCGGAGATGGGAGGCAACGCGCCTGTTTGATGGCCGCACGAGGCAAAGTTGGGCGCTCCGAGCGTCTTCTCGGCGAGAACGAACGGGCTGTGCATCGTCGGGGGGGTGACTGAGAGGGAGGTGGTCGTACGCTCACTTTGTCGGCCGCGCGCGAGGTGAATACTATGTGTGAGGCGCGCAGGAGGCGAGAGTGGGCGCGCCGGCGGTCGAGCCGCCGAACAATTCGACGTCGCGCAGCTCCGCGCCGGCGGGCACGACCGAGCAGATGCTGTCGGCGGCGGCGGTCACGCGACGAGCGAGAGCCGCAGGGGCCCTCTGAGAGCCAGGCGCCGAAAAGCGACGTGAGTGGCGGCCGCGATCAGCCACCTGTGGGCGGTCATCGGGGTGGCGCCAAGCCTCAGCGAGCTGGATCCGGGAAGGGCAAGGGGTCGCGCGGGCCCTGTCTGCAGCAGCAGTGCTAACTAGAACGACAAAATTCCGGATGGACCGGAGAGTGTCTACATTCTCGAGGCACCGTTCTCGGCCCGGCCGGAAAGCTGGCTGGTGGTCGCGCGCGGCGCGTCAGCGCCACTCCGACTGGTCGGGCACCTCGGCTGGGTCCATCGGCAAGAGGCCCGCGCCGTCGGCCAGCCCCGCGAGCGCATGGGCGGCCGGCGCGAGCGGAGAACGACGGGCCAAGATCGGCTGGTTTGGCACGAAAAACGAGAACCGCGAAGGGGGGGGTCCGAATAAGTTACATCATAGGGTGACTAGGGGAGTTCGCTCAGGATGGCAGCCCCGTTGGAGCTCTGAGTGTGTCTTGTCTTGTGCGTTGTGGTTTTCTGTGTCGCTCCTGTGTGACCGTCATTGCCCGTGTTGCGTCCACCCATACGAACCGCGCTGGTGACTGGTCGTGTCCCAGTCGTTGGTCGGACTGTGTTTCGCCTTCCTGTCTATCAACCCAACAAAATCCTTCCTCTCGCCATATCACGGACCTTTCTTATTGATTGAGAAGAAAATACCTCCTATGGGGCACGGCGCCGGGCCGAGCGTTTTTGATCTCTCGGTCAGTGGGCGCCCGCCCGCCGCCTCTGAGGGGGTTGGGCCCCCTAGTCTGAAAACAAAAGCAAACTCGATCCTTGTTCTAAGCCGACCTTTCAGCGCCATCCTTCCTGCTTCCTGTGCTCCCACCTGAGGCGTATCGTGCAGGCGTATTTTCTGACGTGCAAGGTTGGAATGACGTGTCGCTCACAGGACGCCGTGTGCTTCCCTCGCGAGAGCCTCGTACGGTCGTATACGTCGCTCCCGCGTCACAACTGTGAGGCACAGTCCGCATGCACCCTGGGATGGGGTCGAGGGATGGGGCGCGATTACGAGCCTGGTCACGCTGCCTTCCGCGCCCCGTCCCAATCCCGGATCATCCGGCGCAGCATGTGGTTGGGGGTGAGGTATGGGTGCTCGAGCTCGCCGCCCGTCATCGGGCTCGTCGACTTGGTCGCGAGCCAGCGCTCGATCGCCGTCCGCTCGTAAGCATGCCCGTCCGCCGCCATCACCGGGTCGCTCATGATCTCGGTCGTGATCGGGCAGACGAAATCGGTCGGCGGCTCCTCCCCCGGCGGCGCCTCCGGCTCTGGCGGCTGCTCCACCGCCGCCTGCCTCTCCTCCTCCAGCCTCGCGCTCTCCTCGAGCGCCGCCGCCAACTCCGCCTCCTCCGCCGCCGCCAGCGCTGCCTCATCCTCGAGCTCCCGCGACGGCCCAGCGCCGCCCCCGCCGCCCTTCCCCTTCTTCTTCTTCTTCTTCCCCTTCTTGCTCTCCTTGGCGCGCTCCTCCACCTTCTCCGCCTCCTCCTCCGCCAGCAGCGCCTCGGCATGCCACGCCGCCTCCGCCTCCGCCGCCGCTCTCTCCGCCTCCCTCGCTGCTGCCTTCTCCTCCGCCGCCGCATGCTCCTCGAGGGCGCGCACGCACCCGGCGTGGCCCTTCTCCTTAGCCATCTGCAGCGCCGTCCTGCCGCTCGCAGAGCACAACGCCGCGTCTGCGCCCGCCCGCAACAGGTGGAGGACGACGGCGGGGTGGCCGTTGCCGGCGGCGACCATCAGCGCGGTGAAGCCGTCGCTGCTCTGCAAGTCGATCTCTGCGCCGTGTTGCAACAGAAGATCGACCACCCGCTCGTGGCCTTTGATGGCGGCGACCGACAGCGCGGTGCGGCCGTCGCTTTTCTGCTCGTTTATCTCCGCGCCGCGCCGCAGCAGCACGTCGACCACCCGCTCGTGACCTTGGCCGGCGGCGAACATCAGCGCGGTGACGCCTTTGCTGTTCTGCTTGTTGATCTCCGCGCCGCGCTGCAGCAGCAACTCGACCACCCCCTCTTGGCCCTTCTGGGCGGCAAGCGTCAGCGCGGTGCCGCCGCTGCTGCTCTGCAAGTTGATCTCCGCGCCGCGCTGGAGCAGCAGCTCGACCACCCGCTCGTGGCCGTTGGTGGCGGCGGCCATCAGCACGGTGACGCCGCTCACATCGCGTAGCATGCAAGTCGCGTTGACCCGCCCGCCGCTGTCAAGCCACGCCAGCAGCGCCGCCTCCTCGCCTCGCGCAGCCGCCTGCCTGGCCTCTTCGGAAAGGCTGCCTGGCGAGCCGGAAGAGGCCGCGGCCCTCGCTCCCGCCGCCGCCTCGCCCGAGGAAGCGCCGCCCGCACCGCCCGCCGCCTCGCGCTGGCTCGCAGTCACCTCCTCGATGTGCTGCCGGAAGGCGCCGACGCAGGCGGCGTGGCCCTTCTCCTTGGCCCACTGCAGCGCTGTCTTGCCGTCCTCAGAGCGCACCGCTGTATCCGCGCCCGCGCGAAGCAGGCGGAGGACGACGGCGGGGTGGGCGGAGATGGCGGCGAACATCAGTGCGGTCCAGCCTTCGCCGCTCTGCAAGTTGATCTCCGCGCCGCGCTGCAACAGAAGATCGACCACCCGCTCGCGGCCGTTGCCGGCGGCGTACATCAGCACGGTGTCGCCGTCGCTACCCCGCATGTCGATCTCCGCGTCGCGCTGCAGCAGCATGTCGACCACCCGCTCGTGGCCTTGGATGGCGGCATACATCAGCGCGGTGTCGCCGTCGCTATCTCGCAAGTCGATCTCTGCGCCGCGCCGCAGCAACAGCTCGACCACCCCCTCGCGGCCTTTGTTGGCGGCGAGCATCAGCGCGGTGCCGCCGTTGCTGTTCTGCTGGTTGATCTCCGCGCCGCGCTGCAGCAGCAAGTCGACCACCCGCTCGTGGCCTTGGCTGGCGGCGAACATCAGCGCGATCCAGCCGTCGCTGTCCTGCTTGTTGATCTCCGCCGCGCGCTGCAGCAGCAGCTCGACCACCCGCTCGTGGCCGTTGCCGGCGGCGTCCATCAGCGCGGTGCCGCCGTCGAATGTCTGCTTGTTGATCTCCGCGCCGCGCCGCAACAGCAGCTCGACCACCCGCTCGTGGCCGTTGTTGGCGGCGTCAATCAGCGCGGTGCGGCCTTTGCAGGTCTGCAGGTTGACCTCCGCGCCGCGCTGCAGCAACAAGTCGGTCAGCCGATCGTGGCCACGGACGGCGGCGAGCAACAGCGCGGTGCAGCCGAGGTCGTTCTGCAGATTGATGTCCGCCCTGTGCTGCAACAGCAGATCGACCACCCGCTCGTGACCTTTGTCGGCGGCGTACATCAACGCGGTGTCGCCTTTGCTGTTCTGCTTGTTGATCTCCGCGCCGCGCTGCAGCAGCAGCTCGACCGACGGCTCCCGGCCGTTGCCGGCGGCGAGCATCAGCACAGTGACGCCGCTCATCTCGCCCTCCCCGAAAGTCGCGTTGACCCGCCCGCCGCTGTCAAGCCACGCCAGCACCGCCGCCTCGTCGCCTCGCCCAGCCACTAACGCCTCTACGACGCGTAGCGCCGACATAATACCCGGCACGTTTCCTGTTTCTTTTTGTCGAGGTTCTCGAGGTTCTCGAGGTGGATATCCTTTGGCCGCGTTGGGTAGCGAGGATTGGTGTAACCCGAGCCACGGAGGCGTGTTTTCTGACGGCCGACCGTCAGTGCACGGAGTTGCCACTTCTCCGACTGCCCCGGCTAGTTCCCGAGGTCGTCGGGTGTTCTTTTTGTCGAGCTTTCTGCTGTTCTTCACCTTTCTACCTACCTACCTCTGCTGTGACAGAGAGTTCTTTTGTTTAAATTCTTTTCGGCTTGGGCCCCGCGTTGGTGTCCTAGAGGGGGCGTTCCGCAGCTAGGGGCAACCCGAAGCGCAGAACCAACCCTCGGAGAGTATTCTTTACCGTTACTCTATGGCCCTTTCCCTGCGAACGCGCACCCCCCAGGGCTAGGGCTCTCTTGCCCGCAACCCGATCCCGATCACCCGGCCCGCTGGGTGCGCTTCTCAGCTCCCCGGCCCTGGATGTGAGGCTGATGACTGCACTCCAAGTGCTCCAAGTCCTTGACAGAGGAGGAAGCGACAGGAGGGAGAACGACGAGAGTGGGACGACCGCGAGGTGGCATGAAGGTTGCAGCGAGAATCGGCGAGGGACTGCGAAGGGAGATAGAAAGAGGCAGACGACCAAGGGTTAGGGTGGGCGGCGGCTAGCACCACACTCCTCTCCTTAAAATCCCTGTGTGGTGGCGGCGTGCCGTCCTCCCATCCCTGCCTTTGGGTTGTCTGTTTTCTTTCTTTCTTTTAGGGTTAAGTGCCTCGCCGTCCTCGCAGTAGTCGCTTAGGCGGCCCCCGTGGTGTACCTGTGTCAGTGCCAGTGCACGCCAGTCCCGTGCCTAGTGTCGTGCGAGGGAGTTTTTGTAAAATGCTTAGGCGGCTCCGGTGGTTCGCCGGTGATAGTGCTAGCACGCGCCAGTCCGCACCCGTGTCGAGCCTGTCTGCTGTGAGAGAGAGTTGTTTTGTTTAAATTCTTATTCAATCGACAGACAGTGTTGAGAGATTCCGCCCAAGGCCAGGCAGCCTTCCCATCCAGACGAGCAGTCGAGACGAGCAGTCGTCGGTTGCCGCTCTACCGCTCAAGAGGTCGCACTGGCTGGCCTGCGCTCGATGAGGTCCTTACGGTGCGAGAGGTCGGGGTTCAAACAGCATCCCATGGTTGCGCGCACGGGCAAGGTGTTGTGTGTATGTTGTGGAGGATTGCGGCCAAAGAGGCCCACCCCTGTGCGGAGATGAGGGATACAATCCAGCACAGAGTGGAGATCGTTCTCTCAACCTCTCACAAACAACATCTTTGCACAGAGGTCCTCTCAAACGGAGGTCCTCACATCGCCGCCTATCCTGCTTCACGGCGCACAGAGTGACGTCTACTTCTCTCCAGGGCATGTAAGCACCTTCAGGTATAGCCTCGAGTCGTGTGTATGTGCGCACGCAGCCCTTTCTTTGTGCTAAGAATTCTTTGTGCGTCCTCCGGCCATACGAAAGCAGTCGAGTTGGATATTGTACAGATAGGAAATGGGTTTGGGGTGTGCGTCTCGTTGTAGTGCTTTAGGTGTCTTATGTCTTCTGTGTGGATCTCTTTTTCCAACATACGGGTTTTCTTTTTTCCGACCATTTCGCCACCACTAGCCATTTACATAATTCCGCCCTTTCTTATTCAAGCTGAACGAGCTAGCGTGCGGGGAGAGCGGCATTGTACACGGTGCGGAATTGCATTGCCGTTCTTAACGGAGTCGCTTAGGCGGCTCCGGTGGTGAGCCGGTGTGTGTGCCAGTCCGCGCAAGTCCGCGCCCTTGTCGTGCCAGCGTGCTGTGAGAGGCTTGTATTTTAAGAATTCTTATTCAATTGACAGGCAGTGTCGAGATTCCGCCACAGGCAGGCAGCCTTCCTTCCCGCGCCGGACGAGCAGAGAAGAGAGACGAAGCAGTCGTCGGGTACCGCTCTACCGCTCGAGGCCTCCGAGCTAATCCAACGGTTTGATCGGGGCCGCCGTTCCCCGTGTGTGAGGACCTCTCCCGTGAGGACTTCTCCCGTGAGGACCTCTCCCTCTCCGATCACTCAGCTTGACAACGAATATCGTCGCAGGAGAGAGAAGCGACCATGACCGACCATATAATGGTAACAGTATACAACAAGAAGCCAGGGGAGGGGCCAACTACGCACAACTAGCAATTTCGGTAAGTCCCCTTTCTCTCTTATTCATTGTGACAGACAGTGTTGAGATTCCGCCCCATTCCCACCCGGACCTGCAGTCGAGACGAGAGGGTCGCTGACTGCTCTACCGCTCAAGAGGTCGCACTGGCTGCGCTCAAGGCCTCGAGGCCACCGAGCTCATCCAACACTGATATCAGGACCGCCTTGTTGTCCCCGTTGTGCTCTGGTGAGGACCTCTCCCGTCTAGGGTACGATACTTCCGGGCCGGTGTGCGGGGAGCGAACCTTAACGACCGCCCAGAAGCTTTCTGAGCGAACCAATCGGGCCAGGATCATCAGCATATGTCCCCTCCACAACATCGTGGGCGTTTGAGCGGTATTTGAGGAGCACCGCCACTCTGAAGTTCGGCCGGGTGGTCTGCAGACCCCCCCCCCGGAGCAGCAGAGGCTCCGTGGGGTCGAAAAGTCGACGCTGGGAGTCGCACTCGTCAAACCGTCGCAACACCACGCGGTACGCACATACCGCCCACATCCCCTCCACCGCTGAGAAGGCGCAGATCGACCGCCGGGCCGCGTAGCCGTCGTTAAGGAGCGGTTTTTGGAGCCGTACGAAGAGGTCCCAGACGGGCGAAGATGCGGTTTTTCGACGACCACACGCGATGTGGTATCTGGTTTTTGCTAAAAACGGGCCGCCTAGTGCAGCATCACTAGTGCAACACGCAACCACACTGAAAGCTCCACACTAGCCGGTATAGGCGAGCACCGTCGGCCTCACCGTCGCCGCTCGCGGCGGAGCCGACGGCGGAGCCACGGGTCGGTGCGACCTTTTGGGGGCCCATGAGCTCGCCAGGACGTCACCGATGGCTCGGCGCGCCTCTTCCCGCCAGCGCGGGGCGGCCTACCTACAGGAGCGAGGGCGAGGAAGACGGAACTGAGCCCTAGGTTCGTGACCCCGTCGCCGGCAACGGCTGGGAGAGGGGCGGCAAGCGACGGGCGGGTGAGCGACCTTTTGGGGGCCCATGAGCTCGCCAGGACGTCACCGATGGCTCGGCGCGCCTCTTCCCGCCAGCGCGGGGCGGCCTACCTACAGGAGCGAGGGCGAGGAAGACGGAACTGAGCCCTAGGTTCGTGACCCCGTCGCCGGCAACGGCTGGGAGAGGGGCGGCAAGCGACGGGCGGGTGAGCGACCTTTTGAGCGGCCGTGAGCCGGCAGGGAGGCCGGCGATGGCTCGGCCAGCTCCTTCCCGGCGGGTTCTCGTCGGGCTGTGCCTAGGCGGCGGGGCTCGGGTGAGGTGAGCGGGCCCGGGAGTCGCATCTGCGCGTCCCCGGCAGTGGCAGTGTGGGGGTAGATGGGAAGTGCGGAGATGGGAGGCAACGCGCCTGTTTGATGGCCGCACGAGGCAAAGTTGGGCGCTCCGAGCGTCTTCTCGGCGAGAACGAACGACCTGTGCATCGTTGCGGGGGTGACTGAGAGGGAGGTGGTCGTGAGCTCACTTTGTCGGCCGCGCGCAAGGTGAAAACTGAGTGTGAGGCGCGCAGGAGGCGAGGATGGGCTCGCCGGCGGTCGAGCCGCCGAACAAATCGACGTGGCGCAGCTCCGCGCTGGCGGGGACGACCGAGTACATGATGTCGGCGGCGGTCACGCGACGAGGGAGAGCCGCAGGAGCCCTCTGTGGAGCAGGCGCGCGAAAGCAGCGATGAGTGGAGCCGCGATCAGCCACCTGTGGGCGGTCATCGGGGTCGCGGTCAAGCTCGCGACGGGGTAAATCTGGTGCTTCTAGTATCACTGGTGGGCTGGGTGTGCAGCAGCGGCGCTCAAAAAGAGGGAAAAAACTCGGCAACTGTTTGGAGTGTCTACATTCTCGAGGCACCGTTCTCGGCCCGGCCGGAAAGCTGGCTGGTGGTCGCGCGCGGCGCGTCAGCGCGGCTGCGACTGGTCGGGCACCTCGGCTGGGTCCATCGGCAAGAGGCCCGCGCCGTCGGGCGGCCCCGGGCGCGCATGATGCCCCTCCGAGAGGCGCTGACGCCCCGCCGAGATCGCGCTGGTTTGGCACGAAAAACACGAGGCGCAAGGGGGGGGGGTCAAGTATCGTACCCTAGACCCGTGAGGACCTCCCACCGTGAGGACCTGAGTGACCTCTCCCGTGTGAGACTGCTGGTGAGCAATACACCTCTCCGATCAGAGGAAGGACGGCACTGCCCTGCTCTCCTACATGGAGCGGCACGCGCCGCGAGTGCGAGAGACGAGGCAGCAACCAAGGCAGAGTCCGCACTTTGAATGGAGAGAGGTCCTCCGGGGAGGTCCTCACCAGAATGATGCGAGGTCCTCACTGTGGAGGTCTCACACACGCGAGCCGACGGGGACACAAAGCTGGCTGAACAACCGCGTTGGACTAGCTCGAGCGGCAGTGCGACCTCTTGAGCAAGCGGTAGAGCTCGAGGGTAGAGCCGCACCGACGACTGCCTGCTCCCTCGTCTGCACTGGGTGGAAAGGCTGCTTGCTGCTGGTGGAATTGATTTGATAAATGAACAAGAAGTCGTCAGGGGCATGTACGGGCCTTGAGGTGCGTGGAGGCCACCCGAGATTACTTCCAGCGTCACACACACACACACACACACACACACACACACACACACACACACACACACACACACACACACACACACACACACACACACACACACACACACACACACTCACTTCCAGCGTTGTCCCTCAGCTTTTTCTTTATTCACCAAATTTCGCGGCAGTCTCGCCATCCTTTCGCCTCGCCGCCGCCGACCCCTCGCGAGAGAGAGCCACAGCTCGCCGCCGACATGGCCCTCGCCGCTCCGACTCCCGAGGCCATCGCTCGTGACGACCGCCGCGTCGCACGCTCCACGCCGGAGACGTTCTTCTCACGCGGACCCGTCTCCCGCTGCCCGCACGCAAAGTGCCTCGCCACGGTCTGCCGCATACGTGGCTGGTGTCACATCGCCTGGCACTTCCGGCCGGACCTGTGCTGCGCAAACCCGTGCCGCTCACCGGAGCAGCGTTTCGACTCGGTGGTGGCGTCGGTTCGTTCCCTCGCCGGGGCACTCCCACAGATAGCGACCTCTCATTCCCTCGTCCGCGCCCGTCACTTGCTAGTCGGGGCACTCCCGGCGTGCGGCCCGGTCCCGGTCGTCACTCGGTTGCTCGTGTTCACACCGTCAGAACTCAGCTCCGCAAGGATTCAGTGTCTGAGAGTTGGGCATGTTACACAACTTTTGTAGTAGAGCCCAATGGCACCCTTGCATCAAGTGGATCACTTCATTAACATACCGTAACATAGACCCCCGTTTTTCGGCCGCCGCGGCCGGAGAGCACCCCCGTCGCCCCCGGGGGCCCGTCGACCCCCCAGGAGCGGCACGCCTCGTCATTCGAGCAGCACCAGCCCCCCGCTTCGACATGACGGCCGCTCTCGGAGCCGGCCGGTGCGCGCCCGACCCACGCCCCCCCTCTCGCACCCCCCCCCGACCCGCTTGCGCGGCGCCCCCCTCGTGCGCGCCGGCTCGAGCGCCTATTGCCAAATCGCGACTTTCCAGCGCACGCGCCCCACACGTCACGCGCGCGCAGGAGAGCTTGCGGCAGAGCAGTACCGTGTACTCGCCCGAGGCATCGCGCCGAAAACCCCGCGCATTCCGCCCCCGCAGAGGCTGAAGGAGGCAGATGGCCAATAGCGACGATCGTTACGGAATGTTCCAGTCGTCCCAGTCTCTCAGATTCCCGCGTCTCCTCCTTGCCTCGCGCGCCTCTTTTGTGGCCTCATCCCTAGCCGCTTTGCACGCTCTGCATCCCCAGAACGCACTTCTCGTGGCGGGGCCCCTCATTCCCCGTTTCTTTTCCCCCTCTAGAATACGCCTGTGGTGTGCCCCGTGTGGCACCCCGACCTGTTGTCTCACCCTGGCCCCCAAGATCGTTTTGGTCGTCCGTGCCCAGTGTAAAGAAAGAAAGAAAACAGACAACCCAAGGGAGGGATGGGAGGACGGCACGCCGCCACCACACAGGGATTTTAAGGAGAGGGGTGTGGTGCGCTAGCCGTCGCCCACCCTTGGGCGTCCGCCTCTTCCTATCTCTCTTCGCAGTCTCTCGCAGATTCTCGCTGCGACCTTCATGCCACCTCGCGGTCGCCCCCTTCTCGTCGTTCTTTCCCTTGTCTCTTCTTCTTCTGTCGCGTCGCTCTCCTCTGCTTCGTGCCCAGTGTAAAAAAAAGAAAGAAAGAAAACATACAACCCAAGGGAGGGATGGGAGAACGGCACGCCGCCACCACACACAGTGTTGTGCGAGGGACTTTCCTCGCTCTTTAAATTCTTTTAGTCGGTGAGCCTGTGTGTGTGCCAGTCCGCGCCAGTCCGCGCCCTTGTCGTGCCAGTGTGCTGTGAGAGGCTTGTATTTTAAGAATTCTTATTCAATTGACGCTCTTAAGAATTCTTTTAGTCGCCCTCGCTCGCTTTGTTGACGCGACCTATCCGGCCCCCGTTCGATCTGTTCACATAAACGATCTGTTCACGCGCTGTCTCACAGCGTGTCATGAGCCAGCCGATTGTACATGGTGTGCCTGTTGTTCAGGGCGTGGCGGTGAGCCGACGAGAGGCCGATGCTGTGCACTCGCTGCGCAACCATTGCTTGACACTTACCGCATCCTCGATTCGGGAATCTAGCGTCGAGCGTCAGTCGAGGCCACCGCCTACGATGTACGCCACGCCAGAGGCGCCGCGCCGCCTGCCGCCTGCTCTGGGCCGAGGGCCGAGCGAGTGCGGCCGCTGCGGGAAGAAGGTTGACTGGCGGAACCCGCTCGAGGGCTTCTGCTCGGATAGGTACTGTGTGTGCGACGGGTTCTGATCGATCCATGTTCGCTTAGCTGCCTGCTCGTGGCCTGTACTCTTCTGTGGGACGTGAGTCTCACTCTACCGCGCAGGGGTGCCGTCACGCACAGACCCTCTGCGGTCTGCACACGCCACTCTCTCGAGTCTCGTCCACTCGTCGCTCGCTCCCTTCTCCCTCCCGCTGCTGGGTGGCGTCCGTATACATTTATTTATTGAGAGGGAGCGTGCTATGACGAGTCCTGCGTTTGGGGAACGCCCCTGCCCCCTCACCGCCGCGGCTGCTCGGAGCCGCTCGACTCGGAGGAGGAGGAGGAGCGGCGCCGCTTGCCCCTCCCGCGCGCCTCCTCCTCGCTCGCCTCGCCACGGCGGCGCTCCTTCTTCTTCCTCTCCTTCTTCTCCCGCCTGCGCTCCTTCTTCTCCCGCTTCCGCTTCTTGCGCTCCTTGCGCGCCGCCTCCTCCGCCTCCATCGCAGCCAGCATCGCCGCCAGCTTTGCCGGCTTGCCGCCCGCCGCTGGCGGCCTGCCCGCCCCGTCGAGATAGTAGCCGAGCCCAGCGCTGCCGAGCTTAAACACGTACCCGTCGCGCCTTCCGTCGAAGCCCGCCGCGGCTACGAAACCCTCCCCGCCGCCGTCGCCTCCGCCGCCGCCGCCCCCCCCTCCTCCCTCGCCCCCCCCTCCCCTGTCGGGGCTCGGCGACGGGTCTGCGCCATAGCTGCGGCGGTGGGCAGACAGGCCGCGCGCCGCGAGGTCGTGCAGCAGCGCCGCGCCGGTCGGGTCCAGGTCTGCGCCTATCAAAAATGAATGCGAGGAGCGATGTACTCTAACTAATTTGGCACCGACGGCGGAGAGTCCAGGTCTGCGCCGCTCTGCTGGTCGACATACTTGAAGGAGCCCTGCAGCTTCGCCTTGACCTGCTGCCCGTCTTTGGCATGCTGCAGGTCGGAGACCTTGAGCCAGACCTGCATGCCGCGGTGGTAGTAGTCGCTAGGCCTCTTCGCCTTGACCGATCGCAGCTTGCCTTCGTCGAGCTGCGACTCGTGCACCATCACCTCCCAGCCACTCTCGAGGCGCGCGAAGATGGCAAAGTCCGTCCCGTTGAGCACCTCAGCGCGGTGGATCGAGAAGACCTCGGGAGGCGGAGGAGGCTTGCCGCCCGCCTGCAGCTTGTCCGCGCCGATTGCGGAGAGGGAGAGCTTCCCGTCGGGCGCCACCGACAGCACTTTGACCGAGAGCGCCTTGCCAACCGGGTAGAGGAGGCGCAGCTCCTCGGCGGAGATACGCTTGTCGGACGCTTGCGAGATATGGAGGAGGCCGTCGCGGTCCCGGCCAGGCAGCCGCACGAAGACGCCGAACTCGCGCACGGACGACACCGTCCCCTCGACCACCGTGCCGGTCGCAAACGGCTTGTCGCGCTCTCGCTCACGCGCCTTCTCCGCTCTCGCGGCGGCCCGCACGCTCGGCTCCGACGAGAGGAGCCTCTCCTCGGAGTTGGAGCGTGAACGAGACCGCTCGCGACGCGGGTTGCGAGCGGAGAGCTGCGATTTGAGGGCCTGCTCGCGGAGGGCGCCCTCGTCCGGGCTCGGGCTGCGCTTTCGCACGCGGAGGCCTGCAGGGCGAGGCATGAGCGGATAACGCACGGGCCCTCAGCGGAGCTGGGAAGAGGACCGCCGCAAGCGGCGTGGCGCGGGTCGGTTGTGCATCCCTCCGGGGGCCCCTCTGCGCCGGGGAGGCGTTGTTGGAGGCTAGGACGCAAGCGTCCGTCGCCCTTTTCAAACTCGGGGCCCACTCCGCTACGCTCCGACCCGAATTTGGAGGGCCTGAAAAGTTTAAGGTGTTGCTGCGCAAAAGGGGTCGGACACACCGGCATAAGCAGCGCGTACGCAAAGGAGGAGGCGAGCAGCGCGGCGGCAAGCAACGCAGCCACGCGGCAGGCGGAGCGAGAGCTCACACCGCGTGAGGAGAGCCGCCGCAGCGGATCCTGGTCGCTCTCCGCGGCCGCCATTATTGTAGTGACTACCCTGTCGGGGGACGTACCACCGCCAACATCTGAGCCCGTCGCCCAACACACGTATAAATCCGTGGCAAATGCTGCTCCTTCTCCGTGATGGGCAGGGCTGTCTCTCCGGATGACGAACACGACCACATCCATCTTTCAAAATGGCTCGCCGGGCACGCACGCGGCAGATGAATGCGTTGCCATCGGTAGACGGTGCCATTCGCCAAGAGGCCGAATGCCAAGTCAGCCTCGTCAGGCAAGACAGCTTTGCCCCGTGTACGCTGGGAGTGTTGTTTGGCTGCCTGAATGACGCTGTTTGTATGTACGAAAGTGTCGCGGGACATTCCTCTGTGGCCATGAGCAAAGGCCCGTTACCCTCCTCGTGCCAGTGACATCTACACGTGCGGGTGCCGATTGAGCAGCTCGAAGCCCGCCTCTGCATGGCCGCATGACTGGCTGGCAGTCGGGGCCAGGCATCTCCGACCTCCGGCCGTCGCTCGACATCATCCAGCAATCTGCTGCGTCGATTCGCAAGAACATTGTGCGACCTCACGATGCCGCACTGTTCATTCACCTCTGGATCCGCACGGAGCACGGATGCAGCCTTCAAGCCCACACGCAGCGCCTACAATGAGCCGATCGAAGGGATCGCTGCCATTTCCCACTCTCGTCGTTCTTTCTCCTGTCGCCTCCTCTCTGTCTCGTCGCTCTCCTCTGCCTCGTTCTGCGACGACGCCGCTAGCGACGACGCTGCCTGCCGATCCCTTGCTCTCGCGGCTTCTCTCGCCTTTCGGCGCAACTAGGCCCTCCTCGCGGCGTATTTTGGCCCACCTCAAGTTTATCGAGCTCCCCTCGCGCAAGGACGACTCTCCTGACACCCACTCCGATCATTTACCGCCAAGGCATGTCCTTGCTCAGGTCCACTCTCGTTTCGGACACGACTTGTACATAGGAAGGTGAAGAACAGCAGCCATGCCCTCCCAGGCTCCCGGACTGGACACCAACGTCCAACGCAGCCGACACGACGGATTTTTCAAGGGCCATCGCAGAGCAGATTGTGAATGTGAGCTTGCCTTGTGTTTTTTTGTGATTGAGCTTGCCTGCTTGGGTGTCTCTCAGGATACACCGCTCGATCACGGTCTGTCCGCAACGTGGCGAGACTGAGAGGAGGGACGCACTCCCAGCACCCAGCTCCCAGGATGGCCGCGGATGCAGCCAAGGCAGCGCTCGTCACCTCCTCCGCACACGCACACACCACGCTGTGTGTCAGCTTCCGGCCCTCCGCACATACAACCCACCACACAACTCTCGCGCACAGTGGACAATAGGTACACCCTACTCCTAGTGGGGGGGGAGGGGGGGCAGCACCCAACTCACACCGTCCGGCGGCCCGCCGTCACGCGTCGCACATGAAGGAAGGGTGCCCCTTGGGCGAGGTGGCCGCATCGAGCGCCTCCTTCTCTTGCGCGCTCACCTCCCAGCCGAAGAGGTCGAGGTTGGCCGTGAGGTGACTGGCGCTCCTACGCGCTGCTGAATACACCAACCTCAGGGCGGGAAGACGGTACTGTGCAGCGTACTGAGAGTAACGCATGAATACAGCGGAGGGGAATCCAGTGAAGACAGCGGAAGACAGCGGACGAGAGCGGGTTGACGTGTCCCTCGAGTGCTGGCTGGGGTACATGAATACCTTGCGGCACGTCTTCTGCTTCTAGGCTGGCGCTCGTCGACTTGGTCGAGACCGGCACGCCATGGCCGACCACCCACCGCAAGCTTACCTGTGGCAGGTGAGGAAATGTCAGGGAAACTTCTCCACGAGGTGGTGGGGCGAGGGCCAGGGGAGGTAATCTCGGGTAATCTCGGGTGAGTCACCTGGGCGCCGCTCTTGTTGTGCTTTGCGCCGATCCCCGTCACGAGCGGGCCGCTGATGAGCTCGCCTGTCCCGTCTCCGAGATCACCCGAGATCACCCGAGATCGCCCGAGATCACCCGAGATCACCCGAGATGACCCGAGATGACCCGAGATCACCCGATATTGCCCGAGATTGCCCGAGATTGCCCGGCTGATGAGCTCGCCTGTCCCGTCTCCGAGCGGCGAGTAGGCCTAACTAATCGCTCATGATAGGTAATCTCGGGTAATCTCGGGTAATCTCCGAGCGGCGAGTAGGCCTAACTAATCGCTCATGATAGGTAATCTCGGGTAATCTCGGGTAATCTCGGGTAATCTCCGAGAAGGCCTGCGTGACGATGCCGAGCCTGTCGCCGTAGCTGCGCAGCCCGATCGGGTCGGGCCCCATGCCTGAGAGAGGAGTGTGTGAGCGAGTTATAAGCATTGGTAATGAGAGGAGTGTGTGAGCGAGGGCCCATGCCTGAGAGGAATGCTGAAGAGTGACAAAGACGCATCGGCGTCGGCTGCAGGCCGACCAGGCCAGGCCCACGCCGATGTGGTACTTGATCTGGTTGACGGCGGGAGTGACGTTGGCAGCACGGGCGATGCATCTGAGCGATGACTGGCAGTAGTTGCTCACGCCGATGGCGCGCGCCTGTCTCCGCATTCAATGGTGACGGATTCTGTTGCGCATTGGCAGTGATTAGGCCGGCGCTGCTGGCCGAGATGCGGCCGAGATGCGGCCGAGATGCGTGACCAGATGCGGCCGAGATGCGGCCGTAGTGCACTCGAGATGCCCGTGGAGAGGCCCTGCTGTACACCGTAGTCGGCCCCGTGAACCCTCCACGGGACAGCACCCTCCACGGGACAGTCTGCCGTGAGAGCGTCGGTGTGAAGAGAGATGCGTCTAGATGCGGCGTCTGTGGCGCGGCGCCTTCTTGGCGCGGTAGAACGTCTCGAGCGCGCGCCACTGCTCCTGCATCGCCGCGCAGTGGAGCGTGTTGCCGACGGGCGGGAAGTGGACCAGCATGAGGTCTACGTAGCTTAGGCCGAGCTGCTCGAGGTCGGCGGCCAGATCCTTGGAGGTGTCGGCAAACGCAGAGCTTGCAGAGGTGCGCGAGGGAACCTTGGTCGTCAAGAAGTAGGAGGCGCGGTCGTGCTCGGCCAGCGCCTTGCCGACCGATCGCTGATTCTTGTAGTCGAGGGCGGCGTCGATGTGGTTGTATCCGAGCGAGAGGCCTAGCCGCACCGTCGACTCGGCGACCGCCGGCGAGTACTGCCAGGTGCCGAGCGAGATGAGCGGCATGGCGACGCCATTGTTGAGCTTGACGGTGTGAGCCCAGTCGTTGGGCGGCACGCTCGCAGGTGCCTGTGCGCTGGACACGGCGCACGAGAACAGCAGCATGTCTCCCGGTGGTTTGCCTGCGCTTTTTCTTTGTGTGTGGTACCCAGGTATCTAGCGCATAGAGCTTTTGCGAGAGAATTGCACTTTTTCTTTCTGTGTGCGCGGGGATATTTTTTTTTCCTTTTTAGCTTAGCCTTTTTTTCGGCGAGCCAGATGATCGGGAACGTGAGGTGCTGTCGGCTCGAGAATGATGCTGTTGCCCCTCATCCCGCTCGCCTGGTCGGCGGCGCGGAGTCCCGCCGTTGCCACGCCGTCGTGGACGGCGGCTCGCTCTCCTACCGTCGCGAGCCCGGCCCGCCGGCATGGCGCGGCGGCAGCAATGGTGGCGACGCCGATCTCGTCGTCCGACATCCCCGCCGCAGCGCTCTTCCTTGAGAAGCCATCGACTGTGCCGTGGGAGGTGCACAAATTCGGCGGTGCCTCGCTCGCCACCGCCGAGCTCTACAAGCAGTGCGCCGACCTCCTCGTCGCCGAGAGTCGCCGCCCCCTCGCCGACGGCGCCGCCTCTGCCGCGCCGACGATGGCCATCGTCTCGGCGCGCGGCGGGGTGACGGACAAGCTGATCGCGGTGGTGGAGACGTCCAAGAGCGACCTTCCCAAGGCGGTCCAGCTCCTCGAGGCCGTCGCCGCCGAGCAGGTCGCCGTTGCGCGCGAGATCTCGTCGCCCGATGCGGCGGCCGCTGTCGAGCGGGCGATCAACGCGGACGTGCGGTCGATATCGGCGACGCTGCAGGCGTTCGCGATGCTGAAGAGCGTGCCGACGCAGGCGCTCGAGGTCGTCTCCGGCTACGGCGAGGTCTGGTCTGCTCTCACCATGGAGGCTCCTGCTCCCTCTGCCTTGCCCTGCCCTGCCCTGCCCTGCCCTGCCCTGCCCTGCCCTGCCCTGCCCTCCTCTGCCTCTCCTCTCCTCTCCTCTCCTCTCCTCTCCTGCTCCCTCTCCTCTCCTCTCCTCTCCTCTCCTCTCCTCTCCTCTCCTCTCCTCTCCTCTCCTCTCCTCTCCTCTCCTCTCCTCTCCTCTCCTCTCCTCTCCTCTCCTCTCCTCTCCTCTCCTCTCCCCTCCTCTCGTCTCCTCTCCCTCTCCTCTCCTCTCCTCTCCTCTCCTCTCCCCTCCTCTCGTCTCCTCTCCCTCTCCTCTCCTCTCCTCTCCTCTCCTCTCCCCTCCTCGGCTCGGCAGCTCACACGCGCGCCTCTTCACACGCAGGCCTACCTCTCTTCCGAGGAACACCTCTTCACACCTCCTCTTCACACCCCTCCTCTTCACACGCAGGCCTACCTCTCTTCCGAGGAACACCTCTTCACACCTCCTCTTCACACCTCCTCTTCACACCCCTCCTCTTCACACGCAGGCCTACCTCTCTTCCGAGGAACACCTCTTCACACCTCCTCTTCACACCTCCTCTTCACACCCCTCCTCTTCACACGCAGGCCTACCTCTCTTCCGAGGAACACCTCTTCACACCTCCTCTTCACACCCCTCCTCTTCACACGCAGGCCTACCTCTCTTCCGAGGAACACCTCTTCACACCTCCTCTTCACACCCCTCCTCTTCACACGCAGGCCTACCTCTCTTCCGAGGGGCACGCCTCGACCTGGCTGGACGCACGCGACGTGCCCGTGCAGACCGCCGGCGAGGCATGTCCGCGACACGTCCACGACAGGTGCGCGTGACGTGTCTCTAGGTGCTCGTCGTGCAGACCACCGGCGAGGCCGGCCTCGGCGACAAGGGCTCTACTAACACGATGGGCACTGACCCTCTCTGGGAGCCATCAGAGGCAACGCTTGCCTCCCCTACCCGCACGGTACCCGAACCCACACCCTACCCCCACGGTACCCGAACCCTAGGCAAAGCTTGCCAGCTGGTGGGCGGCCGACGCGCGCACACAGCTCAGGGAGCTAGACCTGGCTGCCGCCGCGCCAGTGGTCATTGTGACGGGCTTCGTCGCCGCCACGGCCGACGGCGTGCAATACGACGCACATACACACCACGCACCACACACCACACACACACACACACGCACACACACACACACACACACACACACACACACACACACACACACACACACACACACACACACACACACACACACACACGCACACACGCACGCACACACACCACACACCACACACACACCATCCACACGCCCACCACACCACGCTCCCCGGCACGTCCGCGACACGTCCGCGACACGTCCGCGACACGTCCCCGCCGCAGGCGTGCCCACCACACTCAAGCGGTCTGGTTCCGACTACTCGGCCACAATCTTCGCGAAGCTGATGAGCGCGTCGCGGATCACGATGTGGAAGAACGTCGACGGCGTGTACACGGCGGAGCCGCGCCGCGTGCCCTACCCGCACGGTACCCGAACCCATACCCCACCCCCACGGTGCTCGAACCCTAGGCGGACCCGCGCCGCGTGCCCGAGGCCTTCCCGATCGACTCGCTCAAGTATGACGAGGCGATCGAGCTCGCCTACTTCGCAGGAGGCGAGGCGTGAACGGCGTCTCTTCACACCTCCAGCTGTGAACAGGCGATGGAACTCGCCTACTTCGCAGGAGGCGAGGCGTGAACGGCGTCTCTTCACACCTCCAGCTGTGAACAGGCGATCGAGCTCCCCTACTTCGCAGGAGGCGAGGCGTGAACGGCGTCTCTTCACACCTCCAGCTGTGAACAGGCGATCGAGCTCGCCTACTTCGCAGGAGGCGAGGCGTGAACGGCGTCTCTTCACACCTCCAGCTGTGAACAGGCGATGGAGCTCGCCTACTTCGCAGGAGGCGAGGCGTGAACGGCGTCTCTTCACACCTCCAGCTGTGAACAGGCGATCGAGCTCGCCTACTTCGGCGCGCAGGTGCTGCACCCCTCCCCTACCCCCGCGGTACCTGCACCCATCCCCTACCTCCACGGTACCCAAACCCTCCTTCGGGGCGCAGGTGCTGCACCCGTCCGCCATGACGCCCTGCATCGAGGCCGACATCCCCATCTACGTGCGCAACATCTTCAACCCGGCCCACCCTGGCACCGTCATCACCGGCCGCGCCTGCTCGCTCGAGACCTCGTCGCTGGGCTGGGCGGGCGAGGTGAAGACCGCGCGGAAGCAGCTGCGCAAGGCCGCGTGCCCCGTCCCGCTCGGCGACAACTCCGCGCCGATCAAGGGAGTCACCTCCGTCGACTCGGTCGCCATCCTCAACGTGCAGGGCACCGGCCTGATGCCGTCGGTCGAGGTGTTATTAATTAACGATTACTCAACGATGAATTAACTATCAATTAGGCACCGGCCTGATGCCGTCGGTCGAGGTGGTATTAATTAACGATTACTTAACTATGAATTGACTATCAATTAGGCACCGGCCTGATGCCGTCGGTCGAGGTGGTATTAATTAACGATTACTCAACGATGAATTAACTATCAATTAGGCACCGGCCTGATGCCGTCGGTCGAGGTGGTATTAATTAGCGATTACTTAACTATGAATTAACTATCAATTAGGCACCGGCCTGATGCCGTCGGTCGAGGTGTTATTAATTAACGATTACTTAACTATGAATTAACTATCAATTAGGCACCGGCCTGATGCCGTCGGTCGAGATGTCGTCGCGCCTCTTCTCCGTGCTGCACCGCGAGCGTGTGGCCGTGCTGATGATCTCGCAGGCCTCCGCCGACTCCTCCATCTGCCTCGGCATCCAGGAGTCCGACGCCGACCGCGCGCTCGAGGCGGTGCGCGCAGAGTTCTTCCGCGAGCTCGACGCGACGGAAAACATCAAGGCACGCGGAGGCCGACTGAAACACAGAAAGAGACGGCCAGACACGCCGCACGACGAGACCACGTTTGGGACACGCCACACGAGGAGATCTACGGTTGGCCCCACCGACGCCCTGTGTTGCTCCAGATCTCGGGCATCTCGATCGAAGAGGACAAGTCGATCGTGGCCGTCATCGGCGAGGGGATGGCCTTCCGGGCACTTAATCAACTGTTCACTAACTGTTGATTAACTATTAATTAGGCGAGGGGATGGCCTTCCGGGCACTTAATCAACTGTTGATTAACTGTTGATTAACTATTAATTAGGCGAGGGGATGGCCTTCCGGCCGGGCACCGGCGCAACCTTCACAAAGGCGATGGCCACGGCGGGCGTCAACATCCGCGCCATCGCGCAGGGCTCGTCGGAGCGGCAAATCCGCTGATGGTGGAGCGGGGGGAGGTTAATTAACTATTCATTCACTGTCAATGAACTATTGATTAGGCAAATCTCGCTGATGGTGGAGCGGGAGGAGTGCACCAAGGCGTTGCGCGCCGCGCACGCCGCGCTCGCCCTCTCGGACACACAGGCGGGCAAGAGACGCCGTTCACACCCTCCCCAGCGGTGGCAGCACGCCGCCCTCATGATCTGCTGCTGCGAGGCCATCGGGAATAGCTCCAGCCGCCTTGAGGTCCTCTCACATACGCCCGCAGGTGCCCACTGTGGTCGTCCGCACACCACACACACACCAGGCCTCACCTGCCCGCACACCACACACACACACAGCAGGCCTCACCTGCGGTCAGGTGTCCATCGTGGTGCTCCCTACCCCCACGGTACCCGAACCCATACCCTACCCCCGCGGTACCCGAACCCACCCGCAGGTGTCCATCGTGGTGCTTGGCTCGCTCGCCGAGGCGGGCGAGTCGATGGCGGGCGAGCTGTTAATTAACTATTAATTAACGATTAATTAACTATTAATTAGGCGGGCGAGTCGATGGCGGGCGAGCTGCTCAAGCTCCTCGCAGGGACGGGCAGGCTCGCGTACCGCGGCTCCTCCCTATATACACACATATGTCCTTTCCTAGACCTTTCCTAGAGCCTGCCTGGAACCTTCCTGCAGGCTCGCGTACCGCGGCTCCTCCCCGTCCTTTCCTAGACCTTTCCTAGAACCTTCCTGGAACCTTCCTGCAGGCTCGCGTACCGCGGCTCCTCCCCGTCCTTTCCTAGACCTTTCCTAGAACCTTCCTGGAACCTTCCTGCAGGCTCGCGTACCGCGGCTCCTCCCCGTCCTTTCCTAGACCTTTCCTAGAACCTGCCTGGAACCCTCCTGCAGGCTCGCGTACCGCGGCTCCTCCCCGTCCGCACTCACCGGCGCCACCGCGCAGCTGCCGACCTCGCTCGACGGGCTGGCGATCGACCTTAAGGTTAACTAACTGTTAATTCATCGTTAATTAATATTTAATTAACCTCGCTCGACGGGCTGGCGATCGACCTCAAGGTTAACTAACTGTTAATTCATCGTTAATTAATATTTAATTGACCTCGCTCGACGGGCTGGCGATCGACCTCAAGGTTAACTAACTGTTAATTCATCGTTAATTAATATTTAATTGACCTCGCTCGACGGGCTGGCGATCGACCTCAAGGTTAACTAACTGTTAATTCATCGTTAATTAATATGTAATTGACCTCGCTCGACGGGCTGGCGATCGACCTCAAGGTTAACTAACTGTTAATTCATCGTTAATTAATATTTAATTGACCTCGCTCGACGGGCTGGCGATCGACCTCAAGGTTAATTAACTGTTAATTCATCGTTAATTAATATGTAATTGACCTCGCTCGACGGGCTGGCGATCGACCTCAAGGTTAACTAACTGTTAATTCATCGTTAATTAAGATTTAATTGACCTCGCTCGACGGGCTGGCGATCGACCTCAAGGTTAACTAACTGTTAATTCATCGTTAATTAATATTTAATTTAACCTCGCTCGACGGGCTGGCGATCGATCTCAAGGTGACGGCGCTGGCGAGCGCCTCCGCCTCCGTCCTCTCCAACGACGGCATCGACGTCGCGAGCCCAAACCTGTGGGCAAGTAATTAACGATTAATTGACGATTAATTAACGATTAATTAGGCATCGACGTCGCGAGCCCAAACCTGTGGGCGACGGCGTCGAGCTCCGTCGGCGAGACGCTCGAGGGAGTCACCTTCGCTTGATTAACTATTAATTAGCGACTAATTAACTCTTAATTAGGCGAGACGCTCGAGGGAGTCACCTTCGCGGGCTGCGGCTACGCGGAGGAGGGCGAGGACTGCCTCGAGATGCTGACGACGCACTTGCTCGAGGACTTCAACGGCAACCGCATCGTCATCGACGCGACCGAGGACGCGCGCGTCGCGGAGCACTACCCGCGCTGGCTCACCCTCGGCGCCCACAATGGTCTCGTCCAGCACGCTCTACTTCTCGGACCTTTCCTAGACCTCTCCTGGAACCTTCCTGCAGGCGCCCACATTGTCTCCTCAAACAAGCTGGCGACGGGAGGTCCGCCGCCCACCGCTACCCATCCCCCGAGCTGCCACACCCGAGCCGCTGCCCCCGAGCCGCCACCCCAAACGGTCTAGGCCCGCTCGCAACCTACCGCGCCGCAAAGAACGCGCGCTCCGACGCAAACACGCAGTGGCTGTACGAGTGCTCCGGGCCCGGCTCCGGCCTGCCGGTCATCTCGACGCTGCAAGACATGCAGCAGACGGGCGACCGGATCCGGCGCGTCGAGGGCGTCTTTTCGGGCACAGTCAACTACGTCCTCGAGTCGGTCCGCGGCGGCGCGCCCTTCTCCGAGGCTGTGGCGGCGGCGGTGGCGGCCGGGTACGCGGAGCCCGACCCGCGGGACGACCAGCTGTGAACGGCGTCTCTTCACACCTCCTGCTGTGAACAGGTACGCGGAGCCCGACCCGCGGGACGACCAGCTGTGAACGGCGTCTCTTCACACCTCCTGCTGTGAACAGGTACGCGGAGCCCGACCCGCGGGACGACCAGCTGTGAACGGCGTCTCTTCACACCTCCTGCTGTGAACAGGTACGCGGAGCCCGACCCGAGGGACGACCAGCTGTGAACGGCGTCTCTTCACACCTCCTGCTGTGAACAGGTACGCGGAGCCCGACCCGCGGGACGACCAGCTGTGAACGGCGTCTCTTCACACCTCCTGCTGTGAACAGGTACGCGGAGCCCGACCCGCGGGACGACCAGCTGTGAACGGCGTCTCTTCACACCTCCTGCTGTGAACAGGTACGCGGAGCCCGACCCGCGGGACGACCAGCTGTGAACGGCGTCTCTTCACACCTCCTGCTGTGAACAGGTACGCGGAGCCCGACCCGAGGGACGACCTCTCGTGCCTCGACACGCAGCGCAAGATGCTCACTCTCTGCCGCGAGATCGGAGGCGCGCGGCGACGCTTGGGGGCCTCCCCCCCCCCCCCCCTCACGGTACCCCCGCCCATCCCCTACCCCCCACGCTACCCGAACCCTAGGCATGCCCGACCTCGAGCCGGAGCAGCTCCTCGTCGAGTCGCTCTACCCATCCCCTACCCCCCACGCTACCCGAACCCTAGGCATGCCCGACCTCGAGCCGGAGCAGCTCCTCGTCGAGTCGCTCCACCCATCCCCTACCCCCCACGCTACCCGAACCCTAGGCATGCCCGACCTCGAGCCGGAGCAGCTCCTCGTCGAGTCGCTCCACCCATCCCCTACCCCCCACGCTACCCGAACCCTAGGCATGCCCGACCTCGAGCCGGAGGACCTCCTCGTCGAGTCGCTGCTGCCCGCCGCTCTGTCGGGGTGGGCGCCAGACCTCGCCTCCGGGAAGTGTCGAGGAAGTGTCTAGGAAGTGTCTAGGAAGTGTCTAGGTGGGAGCCAGACCTCGCCTCCGGGAAGAGCGTCGGCGTCACAGCATCCTCGCGCCGCCTCCGCGCGCACGCCGCCATGTCTGCTTCACACCCCGCATGCCGTGAACAGGCGAGCAGCTCGCAGAGCAGCTGCGGCCGCACGACGGCGCGTGGGCGGAGCGCGTTGCCGCGGCAGAGGCGGAGGGCGGCGAGCTCAAGCTGATCGGGAGGCTCGATGTCGAGGCTGGCACGGCGCGATACTAGCCGAGATTGGCCGAGATTGGCCGAGATTGGCCGAGATTGGAGGCTGGCACGGCGGGAGACTAGCCGAGAGAGAGACTAGCCGAGCAGCCGAGACTGGCCGAGATTGGCTCGACGTCGAGGCTGGCACGGCGCGGCCGCGGCGGCTTAAGGCGGCGCCGCGGCACAGGACACCGCGCGCCGACGTGGTGGCACGGCTCGGCCGCTGTAGGCGCAGCTGCAGCTTGAGGTCGTCCCGCCGACCGACACGCTCGCCCGGTGCGAGGGCATGCAGAACGTGATCGTGGTGCACTCTGCGCGGTACGGCGCCGCGGCGGGCGGCCCGCTCGTGCTGATGGGGCCCGCGGCGGGGCACGAGCTCAAGGCGATGGGGATGTTCACCGACGAGCTCCCCCTGTATTCATCCCTTACCCCCCACGTTACCCGAACCTTAGGCGATGGGGATTTTCACGGACGTGTTCCGCTTTTCGGGCACGTTCGAAGAGTGGAACATCCCGAAGATCCTATAAAACCGGGAGAAAAGGGGGGGGGGGGGGGGGGAGGTCGGGCCGGGAGGTCTCCGCAAAGGGCTCGCCCCTCCTCCCCGGCGCCGCTTGCCTGCTCGAGGCTGGAACTATCGGGCCCTCTAGCTACAAGCTAGCCCTTGCAGCGCAGACGCTGCAATCACCGGCGGGGCTCGCACCCTCTCGCTGTCTAAGTTGTCTCTGCATGGAAGGGAAAGAGGGAAAATGGGGGTGCGCGCAGCGGGGATGTGCCGTGCGAGGGGGGGGCGTGTGCGAAGTTTGTGGGCGTTTAAGGGGGCCGATGCGGGACTGTAAAAATGAATAAATTGTGCTGTGCGAGCGCCTTGCACGCTAAAGGAGTCGCTTAGGCGGCTCCGGTGGTGTGCCTGTGATAGTACTAGCAGTAGCACGCGCCAGTTCGCACCTCCTCCTCAGGTGGCACCTGTGTCGAGCCTGTCTGCTGTGAGACTGAGAGAGAGTTGTGTTGTTTAAATTCTTACCGTATGCCTTACCGTGTCCACGAGGATGTCCACGAGCCGCTGACGAGGATGTCCACCTCGCTGTAGTCGACGCCGCCGATTTCGACGCCCCCCTCGAGGTTGACGGCCTTGTTGAACGGAGCGTCCGTGAAAGTCACGGACCGTCCCTAACCTGGTTTGTGGAGCTCCCGCAGATGTCTAGACAGTCCTGAGCCTGTCCAGACAGCGTCCAGACAGCGTCCAGACAGCGTCCAGACAGCGTCCAGACAACGTCCAGACAGTGGCACATGGCTCCACTCTTCACAGTCAAGTCTCGTAGTCGTGGCTGGACGACACTGACAGCACCCCTGGCGCTGCCGAGGCCACTCCCCACCCACCCACCCACCCACCCACATACCGCTTGCCGCCCTACTTGCGAACTTCCCTTTTGGGGGGGGGGGGGGGGGGCGGTGCGTCTAGACAACAGAACTTAACAGAACTTGAGGAACTTGAAGTTTTGAACTTGTAGCTTTGTCTAGACAGCTGTCCGTGTTATAGTCGAGGGTCGATCGCCGGCCGGCGCAGTGCTGCTCTGACCGCTCCGCCGGGCCGCCTCCGCGCTCCGGCCTCCGGGCCGCTGCCGCGGAGACGTGCACATAGGCAAGTCGGTATTTTCATATATGAACTTCAAAATAACATTGGCTAATCTAATTCTACCCATCACGACTTGCCAGAAACACCCACACACTATGGGGTCATTGTGTAGCCCTGCTTAGAAGGAAAAGGTTTACTGTGCAAGGTCCGTATGCCTTACCGTGTAGTCGGCCACAAGGGGAAGGGGACAGGGGGAAAGAAAAAGTGTCCGACGATACACCGCACACGAGACGTCTGTCTGTACGGCTTGATAACATCCGACCCTAATTCTCCTAATTCTAGTGCGAGATGTTGTTGAGGTGCACAAGTGCCCACCACTGCCCGGCGCGGCACGCACACCACATGCCGAGGTTGATCAGCAAGGCCGGAAGCAGAGCCTCTAGTTCGAGGCCGTAAATAACGTCCAGCTCATAAATTGCGCCCGAATCGTCTTCAAAGATGCGCAGCATCCCTTGAAGGCTATGGTGGAAGGGGGAGATCCACGACAGGTATTGCACCGGGAGCTGCTCCGCCTCCATAGCATTCCGAGTCGGGAAGACGCCAGCCGTGATGAGGAAGAAGAGGAGGGTGGGGATGGCGAGGAGCTGCGAGACAGTGCCGCTGGGGGCGACTGCCCCCCAAAGACCATTGACGGCGTCAGTCGTCAGGACGCAGAGTATGGCCCAGCCGTACAGCCCGGGGAAGTAGGGCCATGGGATGCCAGTGAAGGAGAAGCTGATCGCAAAGAAGAGGAAATTGCTCACCAGGCTCAGGACCACCTCCACAAGGGTGGAGGTCACCAGGTGCGCGAACACTGCGTAGAGGCGTTCGCTGGACTCGAGCTTCATGGGGACGAAGGGGGGGGGGGGGGGGGGGCGGCTTCACCTCGCCACCCTCAGCCACCGCGCTGACCGCCAGCATGCAGAGCCCGGCCAGCCCGCCGCCGCCCGACGGCGTCCCGTTATGCCACGGTCGCGGCGGCTGAGTTTCGATGCCGCGGAGCTCGGCCTGGAGGGACGCAGCAGAGGCGTAGTCCTCCTTCTCCACCGCCGCGGAGAGCGCCTTGCGGGACGTGGTTGTGTGTCATGATGGTGAAAGGAATCTCTCTCGATCTCAGTGAATCTCGGGAACGATTGCCTTGCGGAGGGGCGCGGCCGCCGGCAGCGGCGACCACCCTGCCGAGGCGCCTGCGCCTGGGTTTTTCAAAGCCAGCCAGAGCAGGGTGATCTCTGCGAGGGAGGCTCCGACTCCCTGAGCACCAACGGCGCTCGCTCGAAGCTCGGGGACGCTTCGGGCAAGGTGCTCGTGCTGTATCGAGAGCGCATGGACTGTAGTCCGTCGCAGCAGCACACCCGAACTCAGGCTGAGCAGCCTGCCTAGTAGGCCGGCCCATTGCGCGCCGCCGCCGCCGGCATTGCTTGCCACAGGCATGCGCGAGGTGTCGGCCTGCGTCGCTAGCGTCTGGATTGCCCGGTCAATGTCTCCGCGAGCGAGCGATGCGGCGGTGGCGTCGGGGTCGTCGTGCGGGGCAAGCAAAAGGCTGAGCTCTTCGATTGAAACGCGCTGCTTGACGAGGTCGAGTTTAGTTGACGTGCAGGTCGCGCGCTCGATGCGAGCAGGGAGGAGCGGGCCGACCGACCCAAAGAGCAGCTGGAGCGCCCGCGGCGTGACGCGGCACTCTCCAGAGATAGAGACGACGCAGCCGCGTGTCAGGCGCTTCGTGCCACCGCGAAAGAAGGGCGAAAGCGCGGCTTCGAGCGCCGAGTCCATCTTCGAGAACACAGTTATGGGTTTCAAGACTGTGAACGGCGCCTTGGAATATCTAAAAAAACCTACCTGTTCACATCCTTGTTATTGAGAAGAAAATACCTCCTGGTGCTGTGCGCTCCGATGCATCTCTCGGCGATCGCGTTCAAGTCGTGATCGTGAGGAGGGCTGAGCTCTGACCCGATGTTGCGTTCGTTGCTGAAGTCGCCGAGAGGAGCGCCGATTCGTGGTCTGAGCGGTGATCGAGAATGAAAGACTGTGCTGTTGAAGTTCGTGATAAATGTTGTTGACTCTCGCTGTGGCGCCGCTCGCCACGCCGTCAGAGTCCGACTGCGCGGCTTGGGCTGCAAGCGGCGAATGCGCCGCAAACCACGAGTACATGCGATCAAACTGCAAGAGCGCCTGCGACTGGAACGAATGCTTGGAGCCCCCCCCGCGGTCAGTTGAATGCGAAGCGGCACCGCATACGCTGTCGGTCGTCTGCCCGGGCCTGTGCAGCAGCTCTGATGCCAACACCTCGCTGCCGCTCGCGCTGCCGTGCGATGGTGATCAGAGATGCCAGCACCCCCCACAGGCAGAGCGCTGCTGCTAGGGGGGGCGGTCTGACCCCCCCCAGCAGCAGAGCGCTGCTGCTGGGGGGGTCGGCCGACCCCCCCAGCAGCAGAGCTCTGCTGCTGCGTGGGGTGGGGGGGGGTCGGCCATGGGCTTAGGTGTGCATGGGGGGTACCGAGCAGTGTGCGGCCGCTCTTGCGACCTGCGTTTGCTTGACTTCGAGACGTTCGGCGGCTTCGGGAAGGGCGTCCGCGCTCTTCTTCGGCAGGCGGCGAATCAGCTGAGTAACAAACTTTCGCACGCTCAGCACCTCGATGAGGTCACATGGACCACCAAGAACTGGCACGGGCAGATGCAGCGTTTGTCCGTCGTTCTCCACACCGCAGTGGCGTGGCAGACGGTGAACGAGCTAGCGTGCGGGGAGAGCGGCACTGCCATTGTGCACGGAGCTAAGTGCATTGCCGTTCTTGACGGAGTCGCTGTCGCGACGTGGGAAGAAGGCGGTGGCGAAGGAGGCGGGCGAGGTGACATCACGCGAGGAAGGCGAGGCGATTTTATCGCGCGACGCTCGAGTCGCTGTTGGCGTCCACCGGGTGGACGCCGCGCGCCGCGGAGGAGATGGCGCGCGAGGAGCAGCGCGCGCATGTTCGACAGATGCGCTGCTTTCGACGCGCTCTACGACGGGGGCTCGGGGTACGGGTGGGATTCCCCGAAAATCCTCTTCGGGGGGCGGCGCCTTCTTCTAGGCGCCCTCGACCCAACATGAGCGGGCGTTGTGTACCTACCTCTCAGGAATTCTTTGCGCCGGTGAGTGTGAGCCGGTGAGCCGGTGAGTGTGCCAGTCCGCGCCAGTCCGCGCCCTTGTCGTGCCAGTGTGCTGTGAGAGAGGCTTGTATTTTAAGAATTCTTTTATAATACCAAAAGGAGGGCTACACGAGGCCCTCTACGCTGGGGCGCCGGCGCCCTACGAAGAATTCTTTGCGCGCCGAGCCGCCCTTGCGCCGCGATCCCGCACCCGTCGACGAAGCTCTTCCCGCGGAAGACCGCGCGTAGCGACGCCTTGACGATCGAGATGAGCGCACTCGAAGCTCGCCCACCTACTGCCCCTGAGAGTTGGTTATGAGTGGGCTCGGCTCCCCCCCTTGGGATCGAAGCTTCCACGACCTCGGGGCGAGGGAACCCTGCTGGGGCGAGCCTTGGCGAGCAGCAGGCTGTGAGCGAGGGTGGCGCGTCGCGAGTGGCGGTTAGCAGCTTCGGTGGCGCGGGTGCTGGCGACTGGCAGAGAGATGCAGACGGCGCGAGAGATGACCCTGCGGAGAGGCGAGGTGACGAGCGAGCCGCGACGGTGGGAGAGGGCTGAGCACCGGCTGCACCGGAGGCACAGGAGCCTCGCACGCCCGACCGTGACGAGAGCGCCCCGACGCTGGCAGCTCAAGCAGCGTCAGGGCGCTACCAGCACCATGGGTACCCTCCCCTAAAAAACGCCGAAATTGAACAGGCCGCGGCGCGGGGTACATCTTGGACTGCCATGCTGGAGATTGCCTCGCTTCTGCTCGTCGCGCTGCCGGCGTCTGCCCTGCCGGTGCGTGCTCCGCCTGCCGCAGTTATTCACAGGCTGAGTGAGTCTCACGACACTGCACCGGTTTGCAGGCCAAAACCGTCGACGATCCGGCATGGCCAACCGCTCGCGGCACCGTCTTTGCGTCAAAGCCCCCTCCCGTGCCCGACGTAGTCGACGATCCGGCATGGCTGATCGCCACTTCCGGCTTCTGCTCGAATCTCAACGTGGTCATGAACGAGCGAAACGTCGAGGCGAGCGAGACGGAGGGCGATACCGCAGCCCACTTCATGGCCGACATCTCCTTCAACTACTACCCGCAGACGGCGGTCAAATTCACCGATTTCCCTCACCACCTCGCGAAGAACATCGAGGGCGACGCGGCAGAGGCGGACGCGCTGGTCTCAAGCGATTGGGACCACAAGAACATCGCGCTGCTCGAGCCGACGTCCATGTGCAGTCCGCAGCAGGGCGATCAGGCATGGGGCATCTCCGTCTTCAAGGTGGAGGAGCACCGCCCTTGCTCGGACGGCGAGACTGCGTGGGAGGGACATCCCTGCGTCCACTACTCCGGCTACGTTTCGGCGGCTACGTCCAATTTTGTCAACGTGAACGAGGGGCGATTCGTTTGCCAGCTGTTCGTCGACTCAAACATATGTGACGACTTATGGGGGGGGTTACCTTCACCTTTTTTGGAATGTGCGAGGGAGCAGGGCATACCCTGGGAAGTTCGCAGCTGAGCTTACCCAGAGAACTCACCCATGATAATCTGAATCTCGCCCTCGGATCGTAGTATCAGAGAGAGACTCCGCACCGGACACCGCCCGGGCACAGACTCCCTACCCATCGGATCGCACAGGGCCCCCTCGGAGCAGCCCACACACAATCACGCATCGGCAGAATTAGTGCCTGAGTCAGGCAGACAGCACAGACAAGGAGAGGAGAGAGAGAGAGGAGAGAGGAGAGGGTGAGGGAGTGTGCACACGTGAGGAGTGGGGAGGGTGTCTGTGGTGGCCTGTAGTCATACT